CTAAGAATATTCTATATGCTTTCCTCTGGCTGGCCTCACATAATGTAAATATAGTATAAATATAAACATTAACACACAGTCTATGCACATAAAAACAACAGAAAACTACAAAGAGCACCGACTCTCTTAAACAGTGCCTGGCCTCTCCCCAGCCCCAAGGAGTGTTGGATGTGCAGTCTGCATAGGAATTAGAATGTCACGCTATAGGAGTTGGATGTTAGTACCTAAATACAGGGTCCGTCTTTCAGAAGCACCTCTTGACATCATTGACAAGGATACATTCATAGATTTTTTCATGCAAGAACATAATTACATCCACGGTATATTAGGATAGCAGTATATCATGGAAGCTGTAACTGTTACCCCACCCCTCTTGCCACGAGACCCACAATGTCTCCTAATTCTAAGGATGGGGGGTATGGGGCACCCAGGATTATTTCTTCAAGCATATTTATTTACTCAATCCAACTTTGATGGTGTCACCTTATATTTTTATATATTTCCTGTTGCTATCAGGATGCATTGTACAAATAGGAAAGTGTGAATACATGCAAAAAAAAAAACTAACTAACTCAACAAGGGACAACTACACTACCTACAGTAGAAAGAGAGAACAATCCGCTAAGATGTGTGGTTCAGTTTTCCGTGCAGAAACAAGAAAAATCCAAATCTAAATACATCTCTTCCTAAAAAAATAACAAGTGTTTCCTGATTTTTTTTATTTCCAGAAAAGAATAGCTTGAACATCAGGTTAAAAGCAAAAATATAAAAATGGAAAGAATGAAAGTTCTCAAAAAGTAAAAAAAAAATAATAATAATAAATAAATAAATAAATAAACAAAATAAAATAAAATAAAAAATATCTATGAGAGAGTCGCCCTAAGAACAAGCGACTTTCACTGCGGTGCTCAATCCTTTTTGTTTTTCCTGCCAGATGGTATTCAAAAAGTTTATCCTCAAGCATAATGAAAAAGCACCTGATTTTTTTCTGATAATTACCCACTCAGAGATGGACACAAAATGGATAACTGTATACTCCACAAGTCAAGAACATTTTAATTACTACTTACCAAAGTATGACCAACTTCAATTAATTTTTTTGAGGGTTCTTGTGGTCTGAATTTCTCCTCAGGCTCTTCAGGTAGCTCAAACTCCATTAATCTTGATGATTCATCCTCTAACCTCCTTGGGGGTGAGCCGCCTGCAAGCATATCATTGTAGTTGCCTTGCCTGTCGTCTCGCAAACTACTTTCAGTTCTGTGTAAATGCTAACAAGTGAAAAACTCTGCTGAATGACTAAAACTGGTTCCTTCAGGTGAAAAGATTCATTTGCACACTCTGTAATAAGTGTTAGAGGAATACATACTCAAATAAATAGTCTTTTTAACATAGTTATCATATCTTGCCTTTACAGACAATATGTTTAAGCTTTCATAGTATTTTACTCCTTTCTCTAGAAATGTAATATTCCTCTCTGATCTTATTCTCTTCACCCGACACCAATTTCAGTTCCTAGTGTGACTGAATTTATTGAATTGTCACCCCTTTTTTCTTTCCTAATTGTACACTGATTTTGTCAAAGACTGTAGCAATCATTGACAGAATCAGACCCTATTTATCGAAAGCCTTTGTCCTGGTAGTAACAATTTTTATTTTTTTTTAGTTCTCCCTTCTCTTACTTTCTTTTGTGTTATAAGGAAAAGAGGGGTTGCTATACATGCAGAGAGAGTGATAATCATATACACCTAATTTCATATTGCTAAAATGGTGAATCTGTCAAACACATGAATTTACTTTACATGTTAGCTTATGAGTAATAACCGATAGAACTCACTATGTTCTAGTTTCAGTGCGTTGGCCCTATTTCCGCTGTTTGAGTCCTCGCCAAAATCGCTGTCCTGAAATACCTGGACTGTTATGTTGCAGAAAGTCCATGCACCAATACAATTTCCTTATCAAAAAACAAACACACATTGCTTTTATTTATAACACAGATTACTGCATATCTAAATTCTATGATAATAATCATACTTCTTTTTTTTTTTGTAGGAATAAAGTCAACTCTTATATTGGTCATTAATTACTGTCGATTCAATTTTCTTAACAATGTAATAATATATATTTCTTAAAGACCAAGAATCTTTGCACTAAAAACTCAAATTGCTTAACTGGAAAAATAACAATAAATAAAAAGTAACGAAACAGAAAAAAAAATCCAAACAACAACCTCCTTTTTTACAGGGGATGTGAAACACCATATATAAAATTTTTAAAAATATTTCTTTCTGAAGATAGTACATTTTTGTATATAACATAGATAATTGCATATTGAAATTCCTTTAAGTAATAAAAATAATAATACATAAAAGCTTTCTTCTCTAATAAGCAAGAAATTCAATGGAGTTAGTACACTACAAGTTTAACATTCTCACAAAAAGCTCTCCTTAGATGCCAAATAAAAAATTCCACATATATTGAAACACAAATAGTGGCATTGCAAGGCATATGGGTGACAAGGGCCCCCAATATTTTTAAGTTTGATGGAGAAATATATAAGAAAATTAATATACTTTTCAATTCACTTGAATTTAAACAAGCGGTTCATTTTGTTTGTACAATGTATCGATAATTTAACAGAATTAACAGGACCCCCCTCCATCACTGCCAAGGGGTCCCTCCTCCTCTTAGCTATGCCACTGGACATTATAACCTACAAAATCCATATCCATCATAAAATCTGCTTGTCAGAATCATAGAATCAAATATTGCAATGTTTTCAGCATTCTCTTCACAGTTGGCATTATGTATTCACATTTTTACCTCTTAATCCCAATTTAAACTGGTAAATTTCAATGAATTGTCCTTCTTGCTAATATTCACATAAACTGAAAACACATCTTAGAAAACTGGTACTCTGTACTTTTCACATATATTTATTTCTATACATATACATATACACATACATGCGTGTGCGCACGCACACACGCACACACATGCACATGCACACTCACATGCATTCACTCACTCACTCACACACTTATGTACTAACTCACGCACTTATGCACTCATTCACGCACTTATGCACTCACTCACACACTTATGCACTCACTTACACACTTATGCACTCACTCATTCACAAAAAGATATATATTGACCTATTTTCTATGATATAATTACTAACCTCCATTAATTCATCTGGCAGTTCTCCAGGCTCAATAAACTCTGGTGAGTTCTCCCTTTCAGTTCGCACATCAGACATGTTGCTTAATTCTGGAAAAAAAGTGGCAAAAGGTGTTTGAAAAACACACCAGAGGCATTCAAAAGGTTTGCAGAAAATTATAGAACACAAAAATTAGATATTTTGGGTATCATAACATTAGATAATGTATGTAGGATAATTAAAACTTGATACATGTCGATACAGCATGAATTGAGAAATGTGGAAATCATGCTATTATTGAATTTCCTGTGGAACTCAGGTATAATTAATAATTCCAGGCATGATTAATAATTTGAGAAAGCCTTATTAAGATAAAGCTGTTTACAATATGGTCTGCTTTATTAACCTGTAGATGAAAGAGTTTACGTTTACATACACTAAATCATGGCTCTGAATCTTGGGTATATGTATACTGGCACTCTCCATTATGACCCTGTGAAGGTATTTTAACTACTACTGAACTCTGTGAATTTATCTCTTGGAAGGTCATAAGTGGGTTGTGAGATCCTGTTGCAGTAACTGGGTACTGCAGGTAATGCTGTGTTATGGCTGGAATTTCAAGGGAAAACTGGTTGGCTTCTCTGACAGAAGTAACTGAAGACTGGGGGAGCTTCAATTTGCAAGCCAATAGGTAAGCTATGAGGTATCTGCTGTCAACCAGTCAGGATTCAGCAGTAGAGTTTCAAGATATGTCTGCTGTTGATCAATAAGGACACAGCTGCTGAATATAACATGATCTAATCTGGTTACTGTGTGATACATGCAGGTCAGGTATCAGGGGTCCTACATCTGCATTTATAATTCCATTAATGTGTTGAAAAGAAAAATATTCTTCTTGGTTTCTGTGTTATTCTTCTGTTTCTGTTACTAGCAATATAGAATTTGGATTACAGTGATGGTCATTTTGACATTCATAATTACCCCAACCATTTGAGGAATGTATATTTTGACAAACTGACTGTTATATGTAGTGAAATCTAAACCTGGGGTTTACATCATTATATGCACCTCTTCTGCTTAACTCTTCCTTGAATTGGCAGAAAATTATGCATAAGCAATTCTAAATCACTTCACCTCTTTGTTCACCCTAACAAAACTTACAAGTTCTCTTACTACCTTGCATATGTACATATGTACATTATATTTTTACTAGCATTTTCTACAGTCTTTGAGTACCCCTCCTATACCAACCTAAATAACTAGGATTTTCCAACTATTCATCTCAACAACAAAAATGCAAAGATCACTATGCAAAAATAATTTCCCATCATTCTCATATCACTCCTATGGTAATCTGTGAAATGTCTCTCAGAAAATGGTGGGATTTTTTCCAACAATTTTTTTGCTGTGAGTTTGATATGTGTAGTATCCACTAATAATTCTGGTAGTGTGAGGCAAGTTTCTTTTAGCCTAAAACATCACATCTCTACTCCCACTCTTCTTGAGACAATCTCACAGTCAAGTTCTCATGCCTCTTTCCTGATATTCATGGAACACAGCCAGTGTGTAGTAGTAATTCTGATACAAACTGGCATATTTCATACAGCTAAATGTCCCGTCTTTTCCTCACTCACATTCCCACTCCACAAACTATATTATTTCCTATCACAGTAACTCGTATCAAGTCACTGTCTTTTTACATTTATATACCTTGACTTTCATATTTGCGTAAATACACATTTTATTATCATATTATATGTTCTTACTCAAATATTCATAGAAATCAGTCCCCATGCCCATTAGTATGCAACAGGTAACTAATAATCTATTCAACTTTGCA